TTCTCTTATCACTCTCTCCTCTTTCTATCACCCTTCTCTCTCTCTCTCTCTCTCTCATACACACACCTCTTTTCTCCCTCTTTGCCTTTCTACATTGTTTATCCTTGTTATCCATTCTCCGCCTCCTCAGCTTTCCCGGAAGTCGCACTTAACACAATTTACCCTCCCGTTTCTTCACGCGAATCCCTTCAGTTTCGAATTTCCCCCGCCGTAGCTGTCCCCGCGACCCTGGTCCCGCGTCCTCGCACACGCGCGCATCTGCCTCCCCGCCCTACGCAGCCCGCCTGGGCGGCGGCGGCGGCAGCGAGTCCCCGCTAAGACAAGCACAGGGTCGCCGTGCCAGCTGTAGAGCGTAATTATTGCAGCTCTGAGGGTCTCCGAAACACCGCACGCACGCCTCCGCCATGTTGTCCTCGGCGAACTAATTAAAATCGAGATTGACGGTGGATGGTTCCTGCAGTTGGAAGTTTGAGTTTATTCCTTCCAGAAAGCCTGATTGCCCCCTCAGGAATGAAGTAGAGGTTTTGTTTGCGAGTCCCTGTAGGAAGCACCTACATGAGAAAGTATTTGCTTCACTCTCTAATGTAAAAGCCTATAACGTGAATCTAAGATAATTCAAATAAATGCCACAGCAAAATTGAGTATTCTCAGGGCCCACATACTAAAACTTCCAGAACCTACAAAATATACATCAATGTCCAAAATGCCAGGTAGTTCTTACCAAACAGATAATGCAGGAGTGTAACTTATTTTTTGTCGGGCACGGAGCTAGTTTTTGCAATAAAAGTACCTCAATAAGTTTAACGAAGCAAACGCTTATTGAATCGTTTCTCCATATATAGGAAGTAATGAAAAAAAAGCGTTATAAAAATTAGCAGGTAAACATTAAATATTAAGCAAGAAATGATATCAGTAAGACGACAAAAAAGGAACAAAATTAAAAAAGTATAAAAAAGAAGTGGGTGAAAACAGATGTTAGAAGAAAACTGGAAGTAAATAAGACTGAAAAGTCTTGAAGAGGAAAATAATTAAAATAATGAGCAACAAATGACAGAAAATCTTCTAGAAACGCACCGAAACTCAAATTTAACGTAAGAAAGCATTAAATCAGATATTTAAAGGCCTCTCATTTCCTTTCACAGAACGGAAATTATATTTCGTTCCCTTGTTTGCCTACCATTCTGCGTCACATTGTATTAAATTGGGACAAGAATCTTCCAGAAGAATAAATTTAATTTTTCGGGAGGATCTTGTCTGTTGGGTGTGGCTGCTGACTACAAAGGAAACGTGCATATTCAGAAAGTTTATCAGCCCGAGTTGTGCGTAACGGAGGAGGAGATTAGAGAGGAGACCAAAGGAAATGAACGGGGGCAAAGCGAGGGAAGGTGGTTGGGTAGAGGCGTTTTTTGTTAAAAGCATGATTTTGACTTCAATATTGTACGTGACTTGGTGGAAGAAGGGCCAATGTCAATAATGAAAGTTTTACAGAATGGGTGGTTTTCTTACATCAATGAAGTTGGACATTGGCTTTTCTTGCACCAAGGGACTTTAAAGCACATATTGTATATACAAAAAGAAAATCACTAAAAACTGGCAATTGCCTTTTTTGCACCGAGTCACAAATATTAAAGTGGTAATCTAAGTCTCAGATTCTGCAATGTGAGGTGGCGAATGGCGAATAGCTGTCGAGGAGAGGAGAACAGATTACTGGAGAGGCAAAATTGCGGGGCACATCGAGGCGAAAAGCATGGGCGCAGTTAAGAGTTGAGAAAAACAACAAGATAGCATTAAACCATACAAATAAAATATTATTAAAAAAATCAAACATTTTGTGGTAACATTTTTACTCGCAACTAGTACTTCTCTATATGTATTACCGGCAGCTCAAAAGTATTCGTGAACTATTCGGGACCATTCATTCCAGCGTAGGTACAATAGTTTTGTGAAACATACATGCATACACCCACATACATTGACTTTATACGATAAACTATTACGATCAAGATTATTATTATTACCAATTAATAATAATAGTATTATTATTAATAATAGTATTATTAATATTATTATTTTCATTATTATTAATAATGCATCTGACCACTCTACACGATTAACGTGCGTAATTTTTCCGATAAACGACGATAAACGTTTCAGCTGTATCCCTCAATACGACATGGTTGTTACGCCTTGAAGTGTAAATTATGAGATGATAGGATGATGATGACGGTTGAAAGGCCACTCGAACCTGCAGCCTCCTATGCGCAGGCGACGGCTGCCGCAACCGTCTGAGCTACGGGACCGACTAATATATTACATAAATTATTATTATCATCATTATTATTATTATATTGTTTTTATATTATTATTTGTATTATTATTATATTGTTTTTATATTATTATTATTTGTATTATTATTATTATTATTATTACTATTATTATTATTAGGGATGAAGGGGTGTAGCTGCCTCCCTCCACAAGCGCCCCTGGTGGCAGAAGCTCTAACGATGGGCCCAACCGCCGCCGCCTGCGCCGCGGCGCCCCTCCAGCGCGAGGAGACAGGCGCCGCTGGTGGCGGAGACGCGCAGATGCCGCAGCGCAGACCGGCGCGATAAGCGGCACGACAAGAACCACAATTTCCTCCGCGGAGACGGCAGTCAACAATTCCCAGGAATGCTCAATGCTGTCACGAGATGAATGTGCCAAGGTGACACATAGGAGGGACGTCTCCACTAAAGCCTTTTGTTAAAATGACGAGATATGGAGCGATGTGGGTAAAGCCTTCACAAAGAGATGTTTATAACCGGTGCGTTGGAGCACGCTCACAATTCATAATATAGTACATCGTCGTTTATGAACAAATTTTTTAAGGTAATAGAAGTTAATAAAATCTATGTTCATCCTCAGTCAGACGTTTTCATTATTAATTTTCTGTAGTAGAGGATGATCTCCTTTCTCTTTGCAACCTTAACTCGTTTTAAGAACATAAAATAATTCTATCGATTTATTTTAGGCTCATTTGTCATGCGATCCTACAGTTACGTCAATGTTGTGATTAACAGAAAGAAACCTTTTCAATGGCCCCAAAACATTTTTTTTTTTCATTTTTACAATAACAGCAATTTTGACACTACAACAACACAGTAGTAGCAGTCTTATTGTGCTGCTTGTTTTTCAGCTGAATCCGATGTTCATTTAACGAGGCGAACGGGGGGGGGGATTAAAAATAAAACTACAAATAAAGGTTTAAATCCACATTTCAATCTTTCAGACGATGTTGTTCTAAATGAATAATTTCGTACATTAGCCGTACCATAAATCGTACAGAGGGTGTAGGTCAGGGAACATTCCGCACCTTCAAGCAATGAAAAATCGCATTTCTTCATGAGAGACTAATTTTTCTTTATTTACCATTAAATTATAATTAGTTGAATTATAGTGTTTACTACGCACTTCACCAGCAGCCTAAAGTAGCCTGTAGTCACCTACCATCAAAAAGTGGTCTGAATTATCTTTTTCGTATGAAAGATCCATGAATAAATCGACCCAGATCTGGTCAATTGCTTACTTTTGATCACTTATTTCAAACAAAAAATATCTCATTAACTGATGTATGGAAAAAAATACTTCTTCATCGCAATTTCTTTTGCCATTGAAATAAATATCATAGTGTTATTAGATGCCGAAATGTGTCTGTTAAATGTCTATGAGGACGAAAAACAATTCACATCGGTGAATAAAAAGGACTTTATTTTAATGCCGTCGCAATTAACAATGCATCGAAAACTTCATCGTTGCTCGAATTCAATCAAATGAGATTATTCCATTAACCGGCGCGGGGCGCAATTCGTGGAGCGTGACGAAGTTCGACAGGTGGGCACCCGACACGCTCCACTTGTGCCAGCGGGTGCAACTCCATTACGTCCGCCCTCACGTTCAGCCCAGCAACGCGACTTATCAACGAGAAAAAGTTCGCGATTCGAGTTCCAATCCTCGAATAAAGTCCCAAGCACGACGTGAATAACCGAAAGGTGAAGCTTTCCTCTCGAGAAATAAGATATTGATGTGTTTTATGTCCTTTTCGGGCAGTTCGTTCATTCTTTTCACTAGAAAAAAGTTTGGATTCATGAAAATGCTTCTCAAGATAATACAATTATTGTGTGAAAATAACGTATGAATGAAAAAAACCTAACTATCCAGGAAAGTGAACATTCATTTTAAAATATTCTCTCAAGATCCTGAAAGAAGATTCACGCTACAGAGCATTATTTACCAGTCACTAATAAATGGACACATTCAAGAAACACCAGTGAAGAAAATTTGAATTGTCACATTTATATTACGAGAGAGGGTGTTGTCAACATTGAATTTGTCAAAATATAATTAAGACCAATGTGAATTTCTTCTTTTGAAGTTTTGTCGTTTCCTTCCATCACATAGCTCATTGTTATCAACTCGGTATCGTACATAAAATAACAATTACATCACACTGAACACGACAAAAATTAAAGAGTACAAATTGAAAACAACAAATGTCGTCATGTCTGTAGAACATGCCATTTATGTACAAACACGCAAGGATCTTATGAATGACTTACATATTACGACAGATGAACATCTGGCACAACACATCTTTTCTTTTTTACTTTACTACGTATTGCAATATTACTCGCCTTGAAACCGAACGCGACGTTTGTTTTTTCGGACCTACACAGTACGAGAATTTGCGTACAGAAGGGTAGAACAAAACGTCAAAATTCGTAATCAGAAACGTAGAACTGAGAATTATCCTATAGGATGCGAATTCCAAACAAAAAATAGGTAGAAGAAATGAGAAAAAACTGTGCAACTATACCAGACAAGTATTCGGTGTCATTTCCAAACAGTAGGAAATCAAAACAACATCACCACACTATAAGTTGACAGAGGGATCCCATAAATAGTTCCAACCATAACAAAACAAAACAAAAACACAACGCGAAGCGCAGCAGTAAGGCACTGACCTGCGAGTAAGGCAGCAGCCTGCAGGCAGCGGGCCCCAGCGGCCAGCCGGCGCTCGCGCTCAGCCGCGCCGCCACCACCGCGGGGATACCCAGCGCGAACACCAGATCCGCCGCGGCCAGGTTGAGCAGGAAGCAGTTGGTGACGGTGCGCATCTCGCGGTACCGCAGCACCGCCAGCGCGATGCTCACGTTCGCCACCAGCGACACCAGCAGCGTCATGAGCAGCACGGCGGCCTCGGCGGCGGCCGCCCCGCCGCGCGCGCCCAGCTGGCTGTAGAACGAGAAGAAGTAGCGCGGGCCCCACCC